ATGTTTATGAGAATTTAGTTCGTACTATTATATTGACTTCGGTAGATTTTGTTCCGTTGGATGAAGTTTAAAATTATAATTAAAAGTAAACTGAAAGCTTCTCGGCAAAAAGTAGTCTACATAAGCTTACAATAATCAACAATGTTTCAATAATCGATGTTTGAACCCGGACTACTCGAACTTCACATAATCACAGAAAACTGTATACAAAAATATATTTTTTACCTTCATTATCGAACTTCCGATAAATTATCGTTCAAAGGTCATCTTCAACAGAGCCATACTTGTTTCAAGCATAGGTTTCATCAATTTATTAAGTCATTCAAGACTGTAGATTCTTTGTTTTTAATCTCTCTCAATCTAACTGCTAGCATGGTCTTGGTTTCGAAATGTCCACACTTTTAGTCGACAAAAGAACTTCGCATAGATCCCTGCTTTTTCCCATATTGGTCCATATTATTGAAGTATTTCCAATAAAGTATCATCTCTTTTTGTTGTCGAAATATCAAAGTAAAATCCTTCTTTCTAATATCACTTTTAAGATGGGCCTAAATTGCTTTTCATCTTCGCAAATCGATTTCCCGGATGTGCGGACGCGTCGAAGTTATGACAAAATTGGCGGGAATATTTCTGTGATGTTATTTCGCTCTTCAGTGGATTGTTTCCTTGTTATTAATTGTTCTAATATTATCAATATGTAATATAAATGTTTAAGGAAAAAATTTCGAATTTTCAACAAATACTTGGCGCTTTGTTTCCTTTTCGAGCGGAGTACGGGTTTCCTGTGGTGGTACACGGAATCCAGGACGGAAGGACGGACGGACGGAAACGTGCGTACGAGCGGGAACCCTGTGTCGGTCCATGGAAAATCGACTCGATGGTATACCATTTYTTCTTAGCTATGGTGCTCCGCTCGCGCGGGCCTTTGGCCCGCGCGGGAGCTCCGCTATAATGGCCGACATGTTGAAARGCGATTTCTCTGCAAATTCTGTAAGTTTTAGCCATTTTATAGCACTAAAAGGTGGAAAAAACTTGAAAAAAACTTTCTAACGTACTTCCTTATAAGGTAAGATTACCATATATGGTCAGCAAAAGTTTGGCAAACGAATGAATTTTTCTCTGAGGCAATTGTTTGATATGTTGCTTAAAAATTGATTTGGGCTTCAAAGGGCTAATATCTGCTTGTTAAAAAAGAATCGCTTTATCCCAAGAATTGGACAGGTTCTTACTTTACWAATGGTTGAAAGATCTGATAATCATGCATTGCAACATTTTTTTGGCCGAGCTTAACTGGGAKACAAAATCAAGATGGCGTCCGTACATTCGACCTGAGAAATTTCTAACAGCGAACGTGACTCGAAAGTTGCGGGAAAAGGCGGGTGAGGGTGAAACACTGTGCAATAGTAAAAAATGCACTGGAAAAAATCGCGCGCTTTTAAGGTTGTAAATTTGATGTAAATATGATGTAAGTGTCTGAAATTCTGTAAATGTGATGTAAATGATTTCCATTAAATTTACAGAATTTTAGACACTTACATCATATTTACATCAAATAGCGCGCGATTTTTTCCAGTGATGTGCAATGCTGTTGCAAGTTATGCCATGCACCCGAAAAAAAAACGTTTCGTGACGAAGCCTTTTACACTGTTCAATTTTTCACAAACTGCAAGACAAGTTTCTGAGAAAATTGCATTTTGTAACAGTCTCTTAACGACTCGAATATTCAAGTATATACTATGATAAGAGCATCAGTTTTATATAATGAGATATTTAATCTGATTGTTCAGCAAACTTACCTCGTCAAAGTACAGAACAACATTGTTTTCATTCATTTCATATTTCCTCAACCCAAGGTCAAATCTGTTCATCAACTGATCGCAAAAGAAAAAATGTTAGGTTATAATGTTTGGATTAACATAAAACTCTCAKTYMWTKGGSYTT